TAATTTCTGAGGGGAAAATTACTCTTTTGAGGGGAAATACTAATTTTTGAGTGGAACTAATAATTTTTGAGGGGAAAAACCCACTTTGAAGGGAAAAATTAATCAATTTGAGAGAAAAAGCTAATTTTTAAGGGAAAAAACACTTTTAAGGGAAAACCCCTCCTTTTAGGGAAACCCTCCTCATTTTAATGGAAAAAAATCCTGATTTTAAGGTGAAAACTCCCTCACTTTGAGATGAAAAAACTTTTTGATAGGAAGAATAAATTTTGAAGAGGAAAACCCTCCAATATAAACGAAAAAATCCCTCTCACTTTGAGGGAAAATAAATTTTGAGAAGAAAACACTCATTTTGCAGTAAAAAACTTCTGTACTTTGCAGGAGGAAAAATCTCATTCTGAGGGGAAGACCCCCACTTTTAAGGGAAAAAAACATTATTTTAGGCTTTTATAGCAGTATTATATTTTTACCTTAAAGGAAAGTCCCCGGAGGGGCTTCGGGATGTAACAACAATCCCGTTAAAGCCTTGGATAAGCGGAAACACCCAGAAAAAAAAATAAAAATCATGCTTTTATTCCCAGTAAATTGGAGGTGGGGAGGGATCAAACCCCGCGGCGGCGCAAAATGGCGGTCGGCGACTGGACTACAACTCCCATGGTGCTCCAAGAGCGGGGAACTACATTTCCCGTCGTGCCTAGCGCGGTGGTGGGCGTGGCACGAGCGCTTCCCTATAAATAGGCCCCACCGGGGGGTGCGTGCCCCTCTCGGCTGCCGCCATCTTGGTGCCTTCACCGGTCGTCGCTTCCATCCGCCGCCATCCGCCTCGATCCGCCGCCCCCCGCCCGCCGGGACTGAGCGGGGTCCCCCCGAACCGCCATGAGGGCCAAGGTGAGCAGCGAGGGGCGGCGCTGGGGCGGCCGATGGCGCCTCCGTCATGGTCGGGCCTGGATGGGGGGGAGCCGCGGCCTGGGCAACCCCTGGGGCGGGGGTTCCGGTGAGGGGAACCGGGGAACGGGAGCGGTCCCGGGGTTTGAGAGTGGGGGGGTCCCGGTGTAGGGGCTGGAGGTCCCTGGGGGTGTCTTTGCTGGGAGGACTGGGAGAAAGAGAAGCCAGTGTGGGACTGGGGGGGAACTGGAGGCACCGGGGGAGCTAAACCAGTGTGGGACTGGGGGCAGTTAGAGAGACAAACTGGTCTGGGACTGGGAGCACTGGGATAGGTAAACCAGTGTGGGACTGGAGGGAGTTAAAGATGTAAACCACTGTGGGACTAAGCCACGGGAAAAAAGATAGATAAACCAGTGTGGGACTGGGGGCAGTTAAAGATACAAACTAGTGTGGGACTGGGGACAGGTAGAGCAACAAACCAGTCTGGGACTGGGAGCACTGGGATGGATAAACTAATGTGGGACTGGGAGCACTGGGATGGATAAACCGGTGTGGGACTGGGAGCACTGGGATGGATAAACCGGTGTGGGACTGGGAGCACTGGGATGGATAAACCGGTGTGGGACTGGGAGAGCCAAGTCCATGTGGGACTGGGGGTTGGGATTTGGGGTTACCGAGAGGGACAAACCCAGCACGGGGCTGGTGGAGACTGGGAGAGCCATACCAGTATGATACTGGAGGCACTAGGAGAGGCAAACCAGTATGGAATGGGGATACTGGGAGACATGAGCGCCGTGGGTCTGGACTGGTAGGGACTTGAGGCCATGGGAGAGACAAACCAGTTTGGGACTGGGGTGTCTGAGAGAGATAAACCAGTGTGGCACTGAGAGTACCAAAGCAGAGACTGGGGGGACAGAGAAGGATAAACCAGTGTGGAACTGGGGGGACTGGGAAGGATAAACCAGTGTGGAACTGGGGGGACTGGAGGCATCCAGAGAGCTGAACCTGTGTGGGATTGTTGCAGTAGGGGAGACAAACCAGTGTGGAATTGGGAGAACTGGGTCACTACAGGGCTGGGGTTACTGGGAGAGCCAGACCAGGGGGACTGGGGGCACTGGGAGAGAGAAACCAGTGTGGGACTGGGAGAACTGAGGGAAATAAACCAGTACAGGACTGAGGGGACTGGGTGAGCCAAACCAAGTGTTGTAGTGGGAGCACTGGGAGGCAGCAGTGGTAGGGTCACTGGTGAGCACTGGGAGGGGGCACTGGGATCACTGGTGAGCACTGGGAGGGGGCAGTGGGGTCACTGGTGGGCACTGGGAGGGGGCAGTGGGGTCACTGGTGGGCACTGGGGTTACTGGGAGCACTGGGATCCGGTGCCAGCACTAACGCCCGTCCCTCTCTCCCGCAGTGGCGCAAGAAGCGAATGCGCAGGTACGTGAAGGGCCCCGGGGGCTCGGGCCGGCCCCGCCGCACCGGGAGGGGGCAGGGGGAGCCCGGGGGGTTCCCGGTGCCCTCCCGGCCCGGGGAGTTCCCGGTTCCCCGGTCCCGGGCAGGCCCCGGGGGTGACGCCGCCGCTGCTCTGTCCCCAGGCTGAAGCGCAAGAGGAGAAAGATGAGGCAGAGGTCCAAGTAACCGCCCCCAGCCGGCGGGGACACGGCCCGGTGACGCCCCGGTGCCGTCCCGGTGCTGTCCCGGTGCCGCGGGGGGGTCCCGCCGTGCCGGACTCGTTCTTTACTTTGCGGCGGCCGCTGTGCCGTGAATAAAAGTTGGTTCTTGCTTACACACGGTGTGGGGGCTCTGCCGGTATCCGCGCGGGGACTTCCCCGGTAACGGGACTGGGGGATGGAACCGGGGATTCCGCCGGTGACGGGGCAGGGGACGGGTGGTCTTGCAGGAACACGAGACGGTCAGAACCGGGGGGTTCTCTGCAATGGGGCTGGGGACCGGAACCGGGAATCCTCCGGTAACGGGGCAGGTGGGTGGGACTGGGGTTGGGAAATCCTCCGGTAAGTAACGGGGCAGGTGAGCGGGACCAGGGCCGTGGTTCCTCCGGTAACGGGAAGCGTGAGTGGGCCCAGGATGAGGAATCCCTCGGTAATGGGGCAGGTGACTGGGGCTGGGGGATCGTCCGGTAACGGGTGGGCAGGAGGGGATTTTCCCGGTAACGGGACAGGCTCGGGACTGAGGCTCGGAATCCGCCGGTAACGGTGCCGTGCTCCAGGCAATGAAGTCAATCCGAACCGACCGGGATGTTCCGGGATCGCCCACGCGGGACCCGGCGCGCCGGCGGCTCCCGCCGATGACGTCACAGTGACGCAGTTCCGGCGCGCCGCGCGCTCCCGGCTCCGCGCGGGTCCTTCCGGGCCGCCCCGGAAGCGGCACCGAGCGGGTCCCGCCCGCCGCCGGCACCGGCCGCGCGTTGGTGACACCGGAGGCCCCGCGGGGAGGCCGCGAGCCGGTGAGTGCGGGGCCGCGCCGGGGCCGGGGGAGGCCGCGCTCCGCCAGGCCCCGCCGCTGCCGGTGCGGCTCCGTCCCGGGGCGCCTGGCGGGGCTGTCACGGAGCGCGGGTCCCGCAGCGCGGGGCTCGGAGCCGCCCGGGGCACGGGGAGCGGCCGAGGAGGACGCGCCGCGGTTCCCCCCGCGGTTCGGGGACTGCGGCGGCGCTGGAGGCACCGGGGCTGGCGGGGGGACACTCGGGGACTCCCCGGCCGTGCTGCCCCCGCAGCGGCTCCGCGGCAGCGCCGGGACCCCTGGGCGGGTGTTCCCCCGTGCCGGGCTCGCTCCCGTCCCTCTCTCCGTGCCCGGTGCGCGGGGGTGGGTGTTCCCCTCTCCGTCCGCCCTCGGTACCGGGGACGCTCCGGGTCCCTCCCTGTCCCCATGCCCGTTGTCCCGGGGTTGGTGTTTTCTCCTCCCCCACTGCTACCGGAGTCTCTCCCGGTCCCTCCCTCATTGCCCGGTGCTCCGGGGTGGGTGTTTCTGTCCCTTCCGTGGTCCCGGGCCCCTCCTGGTCCCTCCTCCGGTGCTCGGGGCTGGGTGAATCCCCCTCTCCTCCCGTCCCGGGGTCCTTCCCGGTTTCTCCTTCACGCCATCCCTCCCTCTCTCCCTTGCTGGTGTTTCCTCTCCTCCTCCTCCGCTACTGGCATCACTCCCGGTCCCTCCCTCGGTTCCCGGTGCCCCGGGGTGGGTGCAGAACCCTTCCCCGTCACTACCGGGGTCACTCCTGTCCCTCCCTCCCTCACTGCTCCGGTGACCTCTCCTGGCCGGGACCCTTCCCGGTCCCTCTCTCGGTGCCCCGGGGTGGGAGTTTCCCCCACTCTCGCTCTTTCTCCCGGTCTCTCCCTCAGCCCATCCCTTCCCTCCTCTGGTCCCGGGGTCCTTCCCGGTCCCTCCCTCGGTGTCCCGGGGTGGGAGTTTCCCCCACTCTCGCTCTTTCTCCCGGTCTCTCCCTCAGCCCATCCCTTCCCTCCTCTGGTCCCGGGGTCCTTCCCGGTCACTCCCTCGGTGTCCCGGGGTGGGAGTTTCCCTCCCTCCCTCCATCCCTCCCTCCTTCTGTCCCTCCATCCCTCGCTGCTCCGGTGACCCCTCCGATCCCGGGGTCTCTCCCGGTCCCTCCCTCGGTGCCCCGGGGGTGAGATTTTCCCCTCCCTCACCCCGTCCCTCCCTCCCTCCTCTCCCGCAGCCGCCGCCGCCCCTCCCTCGAAGATGCCGGACCGCGACGGCCGCGACGGCTACGCCAACGGGGGCAGCGGGGACGAGGCGGGCGCGGGCGCCGACGACATCTGCCGCGATTTCCTGCGCAACGTCTGCAAGAGGGGGAAACGCTGCCGCTTCCGGCACCCCGACATCTCCGAGGTCACCAACCTGGGCGTGCGCAAGAACGAGTTCATCTTCTGCCACGACTTCCAGAACAAGGAGTGCGTGCGCCTCAACTGCCGCTTCATCCACGGCACCAAGGAGGACGAGGACTGCTACAAGAAGACGGGCGAGCTGCCGCCGCGCCTCCGCCAGAAAGTGGCGGCCGGGCTGGGGCTGTCGCCCGCTGACCTCCCCAACAGCAAGGAGGAGGTGCCGATCTGCCGGGACTTCCTCAAGGGCGACTGCCAGCGCGGAGCCAAGTGCAAGTTCCAGCACCTGCAGCGGGACTACGAGTACGAGGCGCGGGGCCGCGAGCAGGGGCTGGGCCCCGGCGGGCGCCGCTACGAGCCCTACGACGGCCTCTACGACCCCGACGAGCCCGTGCTGAAGCGGCGGCGGGCCGAGGGGCTCTACGAGAGCTACGAGTACGGCTTCGCCAGCCCGCGGGCCGTGGAGTACCGGCTGCTGGAGGAGGAGAACGTGCTGCTGCGGAAACGCGTGGAGGACCTCAAGAAGCAGGTGAACAACCTGCTGGCCACCAACGAGGTGCTGCTGGAGCAGAACGCGCAGTTCCGCAACCAGGCCAAGGTGATGACGCTCAGCTCCACGGCCACGGCCACCGAGCAGACTCTGGCGCCCACGGTGGGGACGGTCACCAACTACAACCACAGCATCGCTCAGACGCACACCACGCTCAGCAGCCAGGCCCTGCAGCCCCGCCCCGTCACCCAGCAGGATTTGGTGGCCCCGGCCGGCGCCCAGGCCGCCCCTCCGGCCAACGCCGCGCCCCCCATGAACCCCGAGATCGCGCCGCTGTCGGCGGCCCTGGCTCAGACCATCGCCCAGGGCATGGCCCCTCCGCCCGTGTCCATGGCGCCCGTGGCCGTGTCGGTGGCGCCGGTGGCCGTGTCCATGGCGCAGCCGCTCGGTGGCATCACCATGAGCCACGCCACCACGCCCATGGTCACCTACCCCATCGCCTCGCAGAGCATGAGGATAACGGCCATGCCGCACTGACCCCCCCGCACCGGGGGAGCCACCGCGACCCTCCCCCGCCGAACTGAGCCCGGGGGGGGCGGCGGGACTCGGACGGACACACGGACGCTGTGGGTGCTGAGTGTGTGATCCCCTCCCGGTGCCGGGGGACGGGTCGTGGGTGCTTCCCCTCCCCGGAGCCCCGTGGATGGACTGAGCAGCGGGGCTGAGTCCCGGGGGGCCAGGGGTGGCTCCCCGTGCCCTGTAATGTTTTCGGCTATTAAACAAAAAAAAACAAACCCCAAACCGACACGGGCCCGGCTGTCCCGGTAGTGCCGGGAAGGGGCGGGGAGCGGGGGGGACACCGGGACCGGGACACGCGAGGCCGTGGGGGACACGTGACAGAGGCCACGCCCCTCGCCATGACCACGCCCACCTGTGTATAAGGCGTGGCCAAACCCACGTGACCGAACTGGGGCGTGGCCAAGAATTGGCGGACCGCCAATGAGTGACGCGTGGGGGCGTGGCCTGAGCCTAGCGGCCAATGGGCGCGGCCAGCACCTGGCGGGCATCCAATGGGCGGTGCTGAGGGGGGCGTGGCCTGGACTGCTCCGCTCAGCCAATGGGCGCCGCGTGCGTGCGCGGGGCGTGTCCGGGGCGGTGCCGGTGGCGGGGCGGGAGCGGCGGCGGAGCGGGAGCGCAGCGGGAGCGATGGAGCGGCGGAGCGGGCTCGGGCTGGCGGCTCTGAGCGCTTTGGGCCGGCGGCTGCTCTGGGCGCTGCCCGCGTACGCCGCGGGGCTGCTGGGGCTGGGCGCGGGCGCTGTCGTGCTCGCTCTCGCGCTCTACGCGGGCTGGCGGCGGCGGCGGCGCGCCCGGGAGCTCGGGATGCGCGCGGCCGAGCGCCTGCAGCGAGACGAGGAGGCGGCCGTGCGCGCCGCCGCCGCAGGGCTGGGCGCGGCCCACGGGGAGTTGCCGGCCTGGGTAAGCGGGTGCTCGGGGGCCCCGCAGCGCCGTTATCGCCCGCGGGAAGGGCTCGGGGGAAGCCCGGGCGGGATTCCCGGCACCGGGCGCCGCATCCCCCTCGGTGGGGTTTGGGAAGCGCAGCCCCGTCCCGGTGGGACCTCGGGCTGGGCGCTGCGTCCTCCCCGGGCCCCCTGAGGCTCCCCCGGCTCTGCTGCGCTGCGGGCACCGCTTGAGTTCCCCGCAGCCCCGGGCGGGTCCCCGTTCTCGGCTCCGCTCTGGTCCCCGCTTGGCGCCCCTGGGGATCCCCCCCAGCCCCACGCACCCCCCGGGCTTCGCTGCCGCACCTGCCCGGACTCCCGGGGAGCCCCGACAGCCGCCGCGCATCCCGGGTGTTGTCCCCGTCACCCGCAGGGTCCCCGGTGGGACCCCCGGGCTGTCCCCGCATCCCGCACCGATCCCGCCGCGGGGTCCCGGCTCTGCTGCTCTGCGGGACCCCCGCGACCCCCAGTGCGGCTCCGTTCTCTGCTGCACCGCAAACTCCGCTTGAGACTCCCGGGCACCCCCGGAGCCCCCCCCGGGAATCCTCCCGGTCCCGCTGCCGCCTCCTCTTGGGTTTCCCCGGTGGGGCGGGACCCCCGGCAGCCGCACCGAGCCCCCGGGGCCGGGATCGCCGCCCCACCGGGCCCCCCCCGTGGCCGCCCCCGGGCGGGGTCCCCGCGCTCCGCTGCCCGCAGCGAGGGAACAGCCCCGGTACCGCCCGGGCCTTCCGGCGGTGCCGTGACTCACCGGGCCCGGGGGGGCCGTTTCCTGCCCGGGCCCAGGGGGGTCCTGACGCCCCTCCCCGCCTTGTCCGAGGGGTCAGGACCCTCTTTCCCCCAACGGGACCCCCGTTTTGGGACCCCCGGGAAGGGGCAGATGTTGGGCGGTGACGGGGCTGAGCGGGGTCGCAGCGGGACTTTGGGGGGGAAACTGAGGCACGGGGATGGGAGGGGTCGTGGCCCCGGAGATCCCGGGTGGTCCCCCCGGGCTCAGGGTCCCCCTTGTCCCCCCAGGTCAGCTTCCCGGATGTGGAGCGGGCGGAATGGCTGAACAAGGTGAGGCGTCCGTGTGTCCGGCCCGCCCCGCGCCCTGCGCCGCCTCCCGCCGCTCCCGCATCCCTCCGGCATCCCCGGAACCTCCGGCGCCCTCCTGCATCCCTCCTGCATCCTTCCCTCCCTCCCTCCTGCATCCCTCCTGCATCCCTCCTGCATCCCTCCTGCATCCTTCCCTCCTGCATCCTTCCCTCCTGCATCCTTCCGTCCCTCCCTCCTCCATCCCTCCCCTCTGCATCCATCTCCCTCCTGGCCTCTTTCCATCCCTCCCTCCTCCCTCCCTTCTCCCTCCCTCCCTCCTGCATCCTTCCCTCCCTCCTGTGTCTCTCTCTCCTGGTCTCCCTCCGTCCCTCCCTCTCTGCATCCTTCTGTCCATCTCTGCTTCTGTCCCATCCCTCCATCCCTCCCCCCATTCCCAGTGTCCATCTCCCCACTCTGCCCCCCCCGTATCCATCTGTCCCTCTATCCCTCTATCCGTCTGTCCCGCTGTCCATCTGTCCTTCTGTCCCTCTGTCCCCGTGTCCCCCTGTCGCCGTGTCCATGTGTCCGTCCTCGTGTCCCCGTGTCCCCCATGTCCCCATGTC